TTAGTTTTATAACTGACTATAAATTAAGATTGCAGCATGCATTCTGTAACAGATGTTGTTTTCATTTAAAGTTATTCAAGACTCATTGTCTGGGTTCACATCACAAATAAAGTTTTATCTTTAGAAAATTTGACACACACACAAAAACAAGATCAGTCATGGGTTGCTTGCAGTCACATATTTAATTTGCTTTGGATTTTTAGACTTTAAAAATTTAGTTCCCAAAGAATTAGGGAACAAATTCAATTTCCTGTTTTCCTTGGGAAATTGGTACCAGGGACACATCAAGGCAGAAGTGTTTTTAATGATCATTTATGACTCAGCAAACCAGGCTCAGAGCCAGTCACTAGTACTGTTGTAGAGCTTTTGAAATACAAGACAACCATTGATGGGAAAATTCACTAGACTCATTCTTAATTTTCAACAAGGTGTTGTTTCTGATCATACATCTGCTGTACCATCTTCTCACTTTTACTTCCTGCATCTTGTCAACTAGAGCTCATACAGTTTGTTTTCCTGTTTGTTGAGGTAGTAGAAAGTGGTCATTGGGACCTTTTTTTTTTCTTAACAGGCTTTTAAATTAGGAAAATATCTTAGCAACCCTGAAGAGTTCGGGGCAGAAAATAAATACATTTCATTGCTCTGCACAGTATCAGCATTACAACTTTTACCTTGCAGTAGACTGTCAAGGGAGTATTGTCTGTTTACTTTTGAAAAAGGAAGAACATTTCTTATTATGCACAAAATATTCCAATTGCCTTATTTTTCGCTGTCTCTGCCTGGTTGCATAAGCTGGCTGGCCCTTTGTTTCCCAGGCAGTGGGGAGACTAACAGAGTTAATGCGTTCAGCTCTTCTGAGGACAAATGGATCGTTACATTTTTCACCCCACCTTCAACTCTTTGCTTCTTTAAACATGAAATGAGTTCAACTTAACATTGTAGCCCTCTAATTCTTTCCCTCTGGTCTCAGTGCGGAGTGGGGACAAGGTGGGCAGGCTGATCGGAACATCCCAGATTTTTTTCTAGAACATGATTCCATGCTTATTCTACTCGAGAATCATCGAAGCATTGGGTTGCTCTTAAGAATTTCTGTGAACTATCTACACAGGGAGACATTTCAAAGCAATGAAGCTAGACTAGAACTTCTGGTGGGAGATATACCTGGTAGTCTCAGTCTGTGGCCAAATAGTTTGGGTATGGACGGTAACTTTTTAAATGTTAGGCTAAGTTATTTAGTTTGTTTGTCCACTCACTTGCTGAGTTCCTCTTAGGACCCAGACTTCATTTTACATGCTGGTGGGAGATCATGGTGAAGGTGGACACATGTCCCCCCTCTCGAGAAATTTCCAGTTTCTAGTGGTGAAAGAGACCATTACAATATAATAATTATAGTTGTTTTAAGTACTTAAATATAGACAGTGCAGTGGGAACATATCAAAGGGAGACAGTGAGTCTATCCCAGGGTGTTCTGAAAAGTCTTACTGATAGAGACTTGCAAAAGAGTGGGATTTTGGTAAGCAGTTAATGGATGTGGTTTAGGAAAGGGCAGATACCATCAGCAAAAAACAGATTCAAGCAGAAGGGATAAAATGAGCAAAGAAATGGGAGCATAGAAAAGCCATGGGCTATTTGGGAAAGTACAGGGAGGAGCATTTGTTGTGTTGCTGAGGCAGCGGGAGAAGAGGAGGCGAGGCGGTGGAGAGAGGTAAGAGACAGTTCAGGAGGGGCTTGTATGGCATGCTGGGAATTTTAATTTTGTCCAGTTTGGCCACTGAGGGGCTATTGAGCAGTTCTGAGCAGAGGAGCAACGTAATCAGTTTTGGAATATTATTCTGTAGCATTTCACCATATGGAGCAGAGGTGGGCAAGGGATGAGCATGCCACTGAGGAGATTATTTCAGTAGTCCGAGCAAGTGCTGATGAAATAGGCCAATGGCCCTGGGATCAGAGGGGAAGGATACAGAGTCAGAAATTAGTGAAAAGGCAGAAGCCACAGGACTTAGTGTTGGTTGAATGTGGGAGGGGATGGGAGAGAAATAAAGTTGTGGATTTTCTTTTCCATTTATTAGGCTTTTATAACGTGTCAGCACTTTACAGGACTGGCTTCATTTCATCACCTTGCCAGCTTGATCTTATGGCGATACCATTTTACGGATGGGCTGTCTGAGGCTTAGAAGCGAAGTGTTGCCCAACATCAGAGGTAATGAAGGACAAGCCAGGATTAAACCCCAGTGAGATGGCTCAGAGCCTTCAGACCTAATTATGATGCTAAACTGTACCCCCTGGATGGCAAATGCAGGATGGGGACTAATTCTGGGAGAGAAGGGGATGGATAAATGCCAGAACAGAGGCCATGCTGGCTCCCATTTACCATAATATATAACTATATAATTTGTAAAATTAGTTTATGTTGCCTTTTCAATTAAAAAACAGCAGATAATTAAACTGCCAATATTATGATGAATTAGTTTAAAAATCTGCAGACTAAGAATTTAGAATATCTTCATTGATGAAAGGCTCTGTTGCTGGGAGCCCTTGTTTCTCCCCCCGCCCCTCCCACCTCACATAGCAGTCATAACCAACACTAGGTCAACCAAACATTTTTTTTATGAGCTTTAATCCCTTTTGCTAATTAAGTGACGGTAGAGGGAAAAGCCCATCTAGTTAGAAGGTGAACTTCAACACTTGGCTTCTTTTTTGGTTATGAACAAAAGTAAGAAACTTGAACAGAAATTTGTCATTGCCGCACAAAGCCGGCTTTCTGTGCTTATGACCAATGCATGGGGCCTCTGCACTCACATCAGTCCTGTGCTCAGGGTAAGGGGCTGCATTCGAGGTCAGCAATTGCATCTTTGAATTGGTCTGTTGGAAGTGAAATACTATGGGACAAGGAGCATGTGTGTTGAGGGTTTGGGGCCTCAGCTCATGCTCCCTGCCTCCCTGGCATAGATTCTCAGCCATCTGCTCCAGTCCCCTGGACCTTTACCTGGCCTCCAGCTCCAGCTCCCTGTTTCTGTCCCATCATTGCTGCTGCCCCCTACCTGCTGTGGGAGGCCTGTGTTCCACCTTTACCCTCCTCCCCATGGGGTGTTGCTGAAGGTAAATAAGGAGGGGTCAGGATGGTTTGTGTGCCCTGCTATGTCTTGGGTCAGGGCCAAGAAGAGGTCATCCCTGACCAGTACCATGGCTGTGTTTGGAGGGTGATTCAGTGGGGGTCTCTTGCCCACCTCCAATCCAGGTACCAATTGCATCCTGCTGGCACAGAGGCTGCAATGTTTGGGGTCTCCCATCTACTCTCAGGATGCTGGACTGTGGAAAGGGGAGATTGAGTTCCCACTTCCTGGGGCCCGTAGTTTCATTTTGTACTGGGAACCACACAAATTATATAGCTGGCCCTGTCTCCATGATCTCTCACCTTCCTTTGTACATAATAAAGTTCATAGACTGAACTTTGTTAAATATGAATTCAGAAGATGTATAAGTGTCGATCATAACCATAGTAGAAGCCAACTGCCTCAGAACTTAAAAAGAAGTAGCATGAAATGGAATGTCTTAAACTCTGATTAAGATGTGTGTCATTTGCTCATGGTTAATAAACTCAATAAGAAAGAATAATTAACATATTAGAATCTTATTTTGAAGAATAATTGTGTGTAATAATTCTTCAGTCTTGCCTGGAGACATCAGTATAGGCACAACTTGTATTAACTATGGGTTGCTAAATAGAATACAAGATGTGAAAATTAGATCTTTTTCTCAAAGTCCAAACAATTTAAATTTTACTGAAAAGCACAAATAACTTTAGTGAAGTTGGTGAATTTGAATTTAAAAATAGAGAAAATATTGCCTAGCTGATGTGGCTCAGTGGTTGAGCACTGACCTATGAACCAGGAAGATATGGTTCGATTCCTGGTCAGGGCACATACCTGGTCAGGACACATATAGGGCTTAATTCCTAGTAGGGGGCACGCAAGGGGCAGCTGATCAATGATTCTCTCTCATCATTGATGTTTCTATCTCTCTCTCCTCTCTTCCTCTCTGAAATCAATACAAATATATTTTTAAAAATAGAGAAAATATTGTAGTGAGTTTCAGAAGCATTTAAGGATGCTAGCCAATGATCTTGACAACTGGTTCCCTGGGCATCTAGTGTTTAGCTGTGACATGAACAATACTCCCTTTAGTAGGCTGATTGATATTTCATACCTCCAACATCATAGAAAATATTAGTAAGCAGTGTGTCAAATTAGCTACTTTAAAAAAATTTATTACAAACAGTTTAAACCTCTTAAGTAACTGGGGTGCATGTTATATCTATGACCTCATGTTTTGAAAGACACTCACTAATTAGGTTTGTTAATATTTGCCACTGTACAGCTGGAAAAGGTCAACTTGTGACCCTCTCCCCCCAAACATTTCTTCCTTTGATGCATCAGGGGTGATCATCGGGGACTCTCTCATCAGTTTCTGCCTTTGTTTCACTGACCAGCGAGTTGGTGGCGATTTTAGAAAATAACCAGTTCACACAGGAGAAGATGACTCCATCCGCCTGTCCTGAGGCCCAAGGAGCAGCTTCATGCTCAGCCTGTAGCCCTTGCCTGAGGGTGCAGCTGCGAAGAGAACAGTGCTGTCTCCCTCCCCTCCCCAAACTTGTTAAATGCCTTTGGAAAAGTCTTGGATTCAAAACTACGCTTGATGTCCATCTCACCCTAGGTTTTCTTGGGTGCAGACACCATGGTGGATGCAGAGTGGAATTTAACCTTCACCTTCCAAGCCCCCTGGCTGGTGCTGATGTCGATCAGACTGTAGTAATGAACAAATCTTCTCTTAGGTGCCTCACTCCTGACGCAGAAGCCCGCCCAGATATTGTGGAAGTCAGCTCCATGATATCGGATGTCATGATGAAGTATTTAGATAGCTTGTCTACATCCCAGCTGGCCTTGGAGAAGAAACTGGAACGGGAACGGAGGCGCACACAGAGGTATTTTATGGAAGCCAACCGGAACGCCATCACATGTCACCATGAGCTGGCCCCACTGTCTCAGGTAAGTGTGAATCTTTCAGTCTCTTTATGATGCACTCTAGTAGGTGCTCTAAGGTTGTTCACGCTGCTTAAGGAATAACTCCTTTATTTTTTTCTTTTTATTGAATTTATTGGGGTGACGGTTGTTAACAATATTATACAGGTTTCAGGTGCACAGTTCAACACATCATCTGTACACTGTATTGTGTGTTCACCACCCCAATAGTCTCCTTTCATCATTTATCCCCCCTAGACCCTCCTCCACCCTCACTCTGGATTGTGTGTTCACCACCCCAATAGTCTCCTTTCATCATCATTTATCCCCCCTAGACCCTCCTCCACCCCTCACTCTGTTAATCCCCACACTGTTGTCCTGGTCTGTGAGTTTGTTCTTCTTTGTGTATGTTTGTTCTCCCACGTCCCGTGTGGTTCAGGGTTCAGGATCTGGAAGAGGAGCCGCACACAAATGAAAGAGAAGAGACAAGAGATAATTTGGAAATACTTGGGGGCCAGGCGGGCAAGTCCAACTCAAGGGGAAGGACTTCCACTGGTGCCCAGGCCTCGCCAGCCTTTTATTCACTTTGGTTAAGCATAAAACCCTTAGTCAGGCAGGTAATTGCAGTAACAGGCTATCTTAAAAGGTCAGTAAATATTAGGAGGATTTACTCTGAGACTATTTGATCAAGAAATAGCTTAAGCCCCCATTATCAGGACTAGACGATCGGTGCATAACTCAGGTCCTTGCCATGGGTTCAAGGGTCACCAGCATTCCGAGATCCTTGTTTGCACTTCTCTGCTCGTGAAGATAATGGGTGAGGTGCATAACTCAGGTCCTTGCCATGGGTTCAAGGGTCACCAGCATTCCGGGATCCTTGTTTGCACTTCTCTGCTAGTGAAGATAATGGGCGGCCTCCTGCATCTCCTGCATTCTTTTTTTGCTCTGTCCTCCTCCCCTCTCCCTCCGCCCCCACCCCCCAAACACACACACACAGAGCTGTCAGCATGCTCTCCTTTTAGAAGGAAAGCCCTCCCTACTGTTAGGTGGGTTTGTCTTGACGTACTTGGAATCCAGGGGTTAAAGATTCAATATAGTTTTCTTTGCAGGGAAACTCATCTTCATTGCCTTAGATGCTGATCCCAGCTGTAATTTCACAGAGCAATTCATGGCGATTCTCCAAGGCCTAGGTTTCTGTTTAGGAGCATATATCTTGGCGTTACAGCTCTTGCAGAACAGTCAAATCTTACACTCAGGGAATTAGATTGCACTTCGCTTATTGTTTTGCTACCTGACTTTGTAAAAACTAGGCAACAATGAGAAACACACAGATGCCATGTTGCATTCAGGGTTAGTATTTCCAGTAAACTAAAATGCAAGGGAGTTAGCCATTTCTATAGATCTTAAGTATCTGGGGCCTTCTGTTAAGTTCTGCACTGCAAAGCTACTTGGCCAGTTTCCAATGGGATATAAAGGAGTCGGTTTATATGAGATTCATGTAGCTGATAGGTGAAGTTAGTTTAAAATCTTACAGCAGAAATTCTCTTATCTTTAGCAAAACACCTTGAGAAAGACCATTTACTTTATTCAATTTTATTCCTCAGCTTTTTAAAAAAACTCTATTGTGGAAAATTTGATACATTGATGGAGACAAAGAAAGTGCTTTGTGTACCCATCCTTGAGCCTTAACAATTTGCTGCTGTGGACCAGTCATGCATCATCTCTATGCTTACCCGCTACCCCCTCCCAAATCCAAGAGGCCGTATCATTTTAACTGGAAACCCAGCTGTCAGGCCATGACTGGACGAAATAGAGAGAGAGACCTACAGTCAAGGAGGGAGTCTTGAGGTTCTAGAAGTTCTTTACTCCTCTGTAAACCAGTCGGGAAATATTACCAATTGCAGAGGGCACTAGGATTAAATAAATCAATGTGTTTGAATACTATGCAAATTAAAAAGTGGCATAAACTGTAAGATAGCATCAGTTATTTAAAATGAGCAATGCCCATGTTGAAGAAGAGTTTCTTGATGCAAATTGTTAATCTAATACTAAAGGTCCATTACTTCTAAATCCACGTCTGTTACCCATGCGGTTAATAGACATTCATTGAGCACCTGTTCCTAGTTAGCCGCCAAGCCCTGCTGGAACCTTCAGTGTCAGGGACCACAGAGAAGTGCTTTACTTCAAAGCAGTTTCCAGGGGTCCTCAAACTTTTTAAACAGGGGGCCAGTTCACTGTCCCTCAGACCGTTGGAGGGCCGGACTATAGTTTAAAAAACTATGAACAAATTCCTATGCACACTGCACATATCTTATTTTGAAGTAAAAAAACAAAACGGGAACAAATACAATATTTGTATTTGCATGTGGCCCGTGGGCCGTAGTTTGAGAGGACCCCTGTTACACTACTACTTTAAAGAGCAATGAATATCTCTTTTGCCATTATATGTAGGCGTACTGGTGATTTTTCATTTCAAGATTAATCAAATGATAACTAGGAGGAAAAAATGCAGCTTTATGAAAGAACTGAGATGAAATCATTACATTTCATTAAAGACAGCATGCAGTTAATTGGCCTTATCCTCACTGGGTACCATTCTTATTTTTTTAAACTCACATCTACACCATTACTGGCAAAAGAATTTTAGTGTAAAATTGTTTCTTTTTTTCTTAAGCAGTATTGTGGTATTGTAATTGTTTCATTTCAAATATAGTGGCCTGTTCTCCCAGAGCAGCTAATCTCGACAATGCAATTACACAATCTAATGACAAATCCTAGTCAAAAGAAAGGCAAATTAGTGGGTTCAGTATAACTGTATGAATTCCCAGCACCGATAAAAAGGGGAGTAAGGGGAACAGAGCAAACAAGAAGTAATTCTGCGAATTACTGAAATTTTGCAAATTAGCAGGTAAGCAAACAATGATAAGAAGCATTAAAGGCCCCTATCTCATGGTGGGAATGCTATTTACTTCCACATGTTAAATTATTCTGAACTATGAAAGTGTTCATTATGAGCTAGTAAAGACAAGAATTAACATAAGCCTCAAAAGCACAGAGAAGTCTTCACTAATAAGTTCATGCCTGTGTACTGTGGTTTATTTAGCTTTTATGAAAGAACCAAGACTTGCCTTTGGAAAATGTTATGATTTCTGTTTCATAATTCAAAATAATCTATCTCAAGGAGAGCACAGAGTCAGGAATGGCAAGAATTCAGAAAAAACAATGAAGTGCAATTTTTACTTAAAAGTGTAGTAATTAGCCTGGCCGGCGTGGCTCAGTGGTTGAGCTTTGACCTATGAACCAGGAAGTCACAGTTTGATTCTGGGTCAGTGCACACTCCTGGGTTGCCAGTTTGTTCCCCAGTAGGGGGCCCAATTCATATTTTCTTAATGCAAATTTTTAAAAATGTTGTGCTATTTGTTTACCTGAAAGTTTTGTTTTCATTATGCCAAATGTCATTTACAAGTGCTGAGCACACAACTAAAGGCACGTGTCTGCAGTCCTCTGCTTTGAGATTGAATAAGCCATGTGGAAAATGATGTATTTTAAAAGGACAATATTTTAGTGAACATCTTTGCTTTTATTGTGTGGTTAATTGTTGACTGAATTTCCCCCAAGGCTGTGAAAATGCAACAAGAAATGATGCAGTGAAAGAAATATCAGGAAAAATCATGACTTGTTTTGGAAATGTTCTATATTTATTATGTTTTAAGAAAACAAAGTGATGCCTTATAGGTTCCCACACAGATATATATGCAATCCACCCTTCTATTTTTTTTACATATAGTTTACATATAGTAAACTGTATAAATTTCAAGTGCTTAGTTTAATCACTTTTGACCATGTATAACTCCCACCCAAAACCAGATGCAGAACATTTACATCACTTCAGAAAGTTCCCTCTGCCCTTTCTCACCCAATTCCTGGCCCACAGACAGCCTGGGGTAATTCCCATCACTATAAATGACTTCTGCCTATTGTTTGACTTCATATAAAAATCATACACATGCACTCTTGAGTGGCTAGCGTCTTTCAGATGACATCATGTCTGTGAGATTCACCCATGTTGTCGTGTATCGCAGTAATTGGGTGCTGCAGGGAAAAGGAGGACGGGGTTTCCTGGAAAGCTTTATTGATGATGTAAAATTAATTGGGTTCCCCTCCAAGGTACTATCTTCTTCCATCTTGCCATGGAAGAAGTTCAGCAGGACTAGAATTAAGGCCACTGCCCCAAATTTCTATTCCATATTCAAGTCCAGTCCAGCATCTGGCTAGCTTAGCTTGTGTTCCCAGCTGCAGTCAATTGCTTAATGCCGCATGGCAAGCTTAAGGACACATGGCAGACTAGTGCATGGGGGCATGTGGGTCATGGAGCTAGAGAGAAAGGGGAGTAAGGGGAACAGAGCAAACAAGAGACAAGGAAGAGAGAACTCTTTGTCTGGGGGTTTTGCCCTTCCAAGATTTCACAGGCTTACATTGGGGTCCACCCTTCTAGCCAATGATCTTCCTCCCAGGCTAGACTGACAGGCCAGCACCTCCCCTACATCACTCCGACTTCACTGCACATGTGTCCATCTCCCCCTTTGTTCCGTCTCTTCCCCAGTGATTGGCAGGGAGCATGAAGCTGTAGCCTCTGAGGAAGCTGCCCCATGACTATGCTTATAATGTTTGACCTCCCCTTTGCTCTACACTGCACATGTGTCCATCTCCCCCTTTGTTCCGTCTCGTCCCCAGTGATTGGCAGGGAGTATGAAGCTGTAGCCTCCTGAGGAAGCTGCCCCATGACCATGCTTATAATGTTTGACCTCCCCTTTGCTCTCTTCCTTATTAATATTAATGAACTATCTAATTATGATGATAGCATTTTGTTATAATTTTGTGACTAGAATAATGAAGAGATTGAGGTTTTTTTTCCACATGGGTATTCAGTTCTTCAGACATAATTTCTTAAAATGCCTAATCTTTCCCTATTCATTTTATTAGGCATTTTTGTTAAAAATCATTTGACAGTATATATGTGGACCTAT